AGCTTTACCTCCATACTCCTTAACCCTCTGTTCTCTCAATCCTTTGTACCAATCCGGATATCCAATCAGCTTGAAGCAATTTTCCTTTGAGTGACCATTAGCATGACAATGTTCACAGAATGGCATTTCAAAATTGCTATTAAATCTCTTATTGATTCCTCTTCCAAAGGAGGTATTAGGTTTCCCACTAAATCTACCATTCCAGCCTCCTCTTCCTCTGAAATATCCATTACCTCTGTGATTGTTTGGTGACGCCATCATAGCTGCATCATCAGTAGCTTCTGGGTAAAGAACATGTATCTCTCTTTGTTTTTCAACTCTTAAAACCATAGAGTAGGCTCTGTTTACTGATGGTAAAGGATCCATCACTAACAACTGATTTCTTATATTATCATAGGTGTCATTTAACCCCATTAGAAATTGCATAAGCTTATTGAATGAGGCAAGTTCAGATACCTCCTTCGCAGCCCCGCAAGAACAGATTGGAATGGGCATTAAACACGCGATTTCATCCCACAATTTTTTGAGTTTAGTGAAGTACTTTTCAATTGACAATGATCCTTGAGTGGAGCTGCTGATTTCTCTCTGTAATTGGTAAAGAAGAGGTCCATTACACTCCCCATACCTTTCTTCTAATTCAACCCATAACTCTCTTGCCGAAGTCGTGTAGATAAAAGCATCGACGATTTCTTTTGATATCGAATTCAAAATCCAAGATCTAACCATACAATCCACTCGATTCCATTGATCAAAATTTGAAGAAGTTTCAGCTGGTTTTCCACATTTTCCATCAATAAATCCTAATTTCAATTTTGCACCAAGTGCAATTTTAATCGATCGACTCCAACTGAGGTAGTTTTTACCTGTTAATGGTGAGGTAAGTAATATCATTCCTGGATGATCTGATCCTTGTAGATCCAATGGATCTCCATTGCCATAATCCTTCTCAAAAGCTTCCTGATCTACTGGTAATCCGTGTGCTCGTTCACGAGCTATTTCCGTCTCCATGATTAACGCAAAATTAGATGATTGAGCTTAGGATCTGGGTAACCCATGGAGCTCTGATACCATGATGAAAACGAGAGAAGGTTTAGTGCAGCTAACGAGCTGCAAGTTCAGCAAAAATCTTATTTCATAAAGGGGCAAAATTAACATAGTGAGAGTCAATGTTTTATACAAGGAAATACCCAATAAAACAATGACACCTGGACAACAAACTTAACTAACTATGGTAAGGAAAATACACGTGAATGAAAGGAAGAAAATCAACACAAAGCTGAAGTGAAACTGAGGTAACAATATTATTCTTCAAAAACAAATAGAGCATGAGAAATACATAATTTATTCGATTGTTTAATGCACTATATTACACCATGTTAAGAATTGAACATAAAATGACAGTGGATAATTTTAGGTTAATACACTGTTACGATTAATTAATGTTATTGTGATCATTGTTTCACCACTATTAATATGCAAACTTCTCTTATAAGCCCTAAATTCATCTTTTTCTATGCCCATTCTTGTTTTATTCTTAATTTTCTTGAAAAATCTAATTCAGCGCGACGAAGACTCTTATTCATCATATTAGATTGAATAAAAAGTTCATTATAAAATTATAATAATAAAAAACTAGATAGATTGTATTATGTTGGTCTCACATCTTGCAAATAAAAATATTCGACAATTTATGCAAAAAAATCGAAAGATTTGAGACAAGAATGCTCACTTTTGTAGGTTGGAGACCCAAATACTATTATTTTCCTTTCATAGATTTATTTATTTTGCTACAAACCTTACTATTAACAAGCGATGTAGGTTTACAATGATTATATTTATTTATGTTTAATTAAAATTCACTAATCAAAACCTCATTTTTGTTTTTTTTGCAAGAAAGTTAACTTTTTACTTGAAAGCACAATCCTTAATTATCATTAAAAAGCTAAAATCCAATTTCTTAGCTGTGGTAAATCATGAATCTTAATTCATTGAAGTATGAATACATTCAAAATTAAGTTTTTATTTTTATGAAAAGGATTAGATTTGGTTGTTATTTTTATTTTATTGATGTATTTACTGACTATGAGGTATAATGGCCTTTTTAAATTAAGTTTTTTTTCCTACATATTAAAAGTTAGTGTAATTATATTTACATAGTAGTTTTTGTTGATTAATCCAATATTTTCTTAATTTTTCACTTATATCCTCAACTTTATTCGATGTATTTTTCTTCAAACTTTTATTAATTAGTACATCTTATTCTAGTAAAAAGTCTTATTTATGTCCCTCATATTTTAAATAAGAAGATAAACAATAAATAAAAAATCTGGACATAATATTTTTCCATGCAAATGGAATATTTGGATGAAAACTGTTATGAGATACAAGACGGGCTAGTTAATTATAAATTAAAGATAAGATTGTGAAAAAAAAAGTTTGCAAGATAAGTGCAAAAATAAGAAAACATAGAAATTTTTATCGCAATTAAAATGTGGTGTAGTCTGTTGTTTCAATATGATTACCCTAAATGCTAAAATGGAAAAAAATCAAGTGTGAAGACCTAATATTAAGAAAAATTGACCAAAATGCAAATTTAAGTAAATGTTGGAGATGTTGGGACCAATTTCATTTCAAACGAATAAATAGTGTAGGGGAATTAGAAGTCAAATATAAACCAAGGACACATGGTAAACATTTATGGTATTCTTCTTTTCTTTCAATGGATAAGTCCCCTAGAGAAAGCAGCTTTATTATTTACGAGCAATTGCATTCCATTCCGTTCGAATTTAGTGATATATAACAAAGCATACACTTAAAGCTAACCACAAGGCAAGCCCAAAACTCCACGCTTAGGATTATGCATACAAGCAGTGGCGGGCACATACATTTTGAGTTGGGGGCACAATCAAATTCAGTACAAATTGAATACTTTTTATTTTTATTTTTAAATGATTCATACTCGACAAAAGAAAATGCAGATTTACATTTAATACGAGAAAATGCAAATTTAGGTTCTAATTAGTTGACAATTTGATTGGAAAGTGAAGATTTGTAGTAGATGTTATAATTTGTAGATAAATTATATACAAATTTTAAAAAATTAAAAAAGTTCAGATTTTGATAAAAAGCATAGGGAGAGAGAGAAAGAGAGAGAAAAAAATCAAATTTATTTTGATTTATCTCTATATGATGGGGATTAAAATTAGATTTTTAGTAAATTTTGATAAAAGTTGAAAAGTTATGGATTCCATAAAATATTTTATTAAAATGAATTATTAACTTTGATTTATATTAAAATTTAAATTTCAATAGATACCAAATAAAATTTTATATTAAAAAAATAGAATTTCAAAAGTTGGAAAGGTCACGAGACCCCAAGACCCCTGGGTCCGCCAGTGGATACAAGAACTTGAGCATGTTGCATAGCCTACTCTTGTAACAGTAGCAATGCAGTTTGAAACGTACTGAATGGTGTCAAGAATTATGTATCGAACCCATACCACTTGTTAGTAAATAAAGGAACGAGAACAATATCGCAATATGAAAATCAAATATACCACGACGAGAAGAGGAGAATTTTATTAATATCAACAATGGAGGATTGCAAATTACTGTGTACAACGTAATGATTGATTTTTCCAGTGATATACTCCTCATATATATAATGCTAAGAAGGGAATAATATGGGGTGGAGGTCAAGTATAACAAGTCTATACAATAATAGAGTGTTTGGGATAAAATAAGATTCAAAAATCTGTCCAAAATCATGAACTATTCAAAACTAGATAAAACCACTGCTCGAGCAGCGGTCTCTTGGACGTCGAGCGGTGGCCGGCCGTTTGAATGGACTTCTAATGATTAGCAAGCGTTGGCTTCCTTGTTCTCGCCCAGTGAGCGTCCGGCACGACGCTTCCTTCTCCTTGCACGATTTCTTCTTCTCCTATTACAACTTGGACTCCATCAAGTCCAAAACAATTTTCAAACTCCTAACAGAACTCCTAAATTGAATTCCAACTAGAATTTTCATATGGACTTCAACTAAAATTCTCAAATTGGCTTCAAATAAAATATTCAAATAGACATTCAAATAAAATTCGGGTCATACTCTAATTCTAACAAATAGTTTGAGCTCCACCGTCATCATAGTAATTGTAGTAGTGAGAAATGAAAAGGACACATTTTTAAAAATATTAGTGTAGGCACGTGCGATGCACGTGCTGCAGTTTAGTTGGGTATTTAATAGCGTATAGTGATTTTAAGTAATTTTTTCAGTTAATGTTCAAAGATAAAACCTGTCTCATTTTGGTCCAAACTAATATAAAAAATAATTAGAAGATGTTTAGAAAATTTACCAAGTATGGTTCAATATGGATTGCAATAATCAGCCTCGCGTATGTCAAAGAATACAAGTTATTGCTAATATAGTTACTGGTATCTGTAATTACTGGTGGTGATAAGAATTTTTTTAATGCGGTAATTACAGGTAAAAAGGAATTGCTAATCCTCACACACATTCCACACTTTTAATAGGACTACATACTGGATTGGCACATTCCATGAGTTGTTGTGCCTTATGAACACTGTTGCTACAATCATATATTCTAAATTTTCACTCATGAAAATTTACATGAAAGAGGTACCAGTCACAACGTGCATTTTCATTCTGAATCAATATAGAATTGCATATTATCCATGATCTACCAGCTATTGGTACATTGCCAGTCTCAGTGCGCGCACGCCTTTTTTTTTTCATTACATACCCCTAGAAAACACATCATAAATCTTAAGATTGCAAGCTTATAAGGAATGGGGGCACGTTTTAAAATTTTACCAGATGAAGGAACGTACACTGTTGTTTCTTAAATTAAACTTAGTCTGATCATTATGAGGTTCAATATTCAAGACAACAAAAAAACACACTTATGTAAGATGACTGTTTTCTTAGTAATTAGTGCAACTAATTTTCAAATGAATTAAAAGGCCATACTGAGTATAACAAATCATGTATAAGTATTAGTCGACTCCTCATTCCCCAATATCTGCAAATTCTTAATCTAAAGTCACTAAAGATGTCAAGTGTAAAAATTTATCTACCTCGTGAAAAATAAAACGCTGAAGGCGAATGACTACCTGAGCAAGATCTTTGCCAGTGACCACGGCAATACAAGCTGAGAGATATTGACAAAGAATTGCAACACAATTAAATATAAGCATGAGCAACACCACATAGGAACTGAAGCGAGCTCCCCCATCAACAGTCGTTGCCCACTTTCCAGGGTCTACATATCTGATAGCAATCCAAACCACAGGTACAGTAGAAGCAAGAACCCGCGGAAGAACATTTGGCCAATGGTCTATGGTTAAAAGTCTCTGATTCCATTTTTTAATTAATCAAATGTAAAAACTTAGCATTATCCTCTTGAGCGTTCACACTTCCAGTGTAGCTGGAAAAATGACCAAACATTACCAAGCTCAGTTATTATATATTCCCGTTGCAAACAGAGGATGCATTCCAACCTTTAAAAAGGTGGGTATGAAATCAATTAGCAACCCCTGTATTCAAAAGATAACCAAAACTTATAACCTGCACATCTTCCAAGAGGTCTAGTTCACGATCATGCACGGTCATCCATACAAATTCCAGTATCATTTCATGTATGGCCCTGGTTTCTTGTATAACATCGACAGGGGTTCGAGGTTTTTTGGGTTTGAATAGATTCTTCATTGTACTGCTTCTAGCAACGTTCTTAACAAGGTTCCTGAAATTCGAAGAAGAACCCAATACCTTCCGTTTCGCATCAGCATTCCTGATCACAACAACCATCTTTTTCCTGTTAATGGAATCTGGTGTTTGAGATTCCACAAGCATAATAGCGTCAGGAAAAAGATCACAATTTTTCCGAAATGCCCAATTATTGTTGCATAACAAAAAGTTACTAAAGATATATATAATTTGAGATTCCTGAAGAAATTCTCACCAAAAAAAAAAAAAAAAAATAATGAATACAAAACTAACAGGGGACCAACTTTAATTCTGCCAGCCATTTTTTCACAACCTCGATTCAGCAAGTTCAACGGCTCATCTAAAATTAAACAATTGCAATTGTTGTGTCCACTTATTTATCTTTCTTGTTAAAAAGAAACCCTATAGTTTTACCATGTTATATTCTGCAAGCTAGTTCACAGAAAAGTACACCATCACTATTAATTAATCTTCTCAAAATCAACACCACACCATTCCTGAAGCACAACAATCTCAGGAGCATCTTCTTTCCAATAGCGTAGGCATGAAATGCCTGCTTAATATTCCCCCCAGAGAAAAAGAAAAAGATAACTTAGAAAAGAAACGAAAACAAAATCACAATTTCAAACGCGCTATTAGTATTAATTTGATTACAATTCAACTTCCCAGTTAAAAAGCAAAATTATCCTTTCTCAGTTCATCAAAATGAGGGTACATGAAGCCAAAATGAGGGGCTAAAATGGTCTCCTTCAAAACCTCATCATAATTTCATTAAATTAAAAATAACAACGAAGGCATAAATGTGAATTCTCTCAACATCTTCAACATAATAAAATATTACGTTATTTAAAAAAAAAAAAAAGTATGATCAGAACACAGATTTATGACTCCTATTAGGGATGTAAAGCAACCCTCCGTCGAGTCAAGTATGTATGCCTAATCGTCACCAAATGTGGTCTACTTCCCTGCACCTGTAAACATTAGTTGCAAAATTGTTAGGCATAACACTAAATTTTACACAAATAAATAACTTTGTTACCAAATAAGACATTCACGTCACATACGAGGTTGATATGCAAAAGCTAAGAAATTTAAACATTTTTCCACAACTCCAATTAAAAATGCTATTAGATATATACTGTAAAATGACGGTTAGACCTATTTTTTTTAATCTTTAGGCAATGAAGCATATAAATCATAGAGAAAGTTGAAAAGTCTTACAATCATAATCATATTAATACAGCGAGTTGAATTAAATTACGTTATTAGAATTAATATTTAGGAAACAAGAGCCAAGTCCTTTCTACCAAGAAAATCAGCATCAACTCACTTCAAATATTCTGACTATATGGAATAATGTATTCATCTAGAGTGATGATCGTCGCCCGGCTATGTGCTAGAGAGGCTATTGTACAATGAAATCAGAAATCATTTTTCTTCATTAGACAATGTGGCAATGACCCCACTGCCACACAAACCGATGATTTGTTCAGATGAGGAGAGTTACTCGAGGCGATAATATACATTGATAAGCATACAAAAGTATACATAATTTTGTAACGTCTAAGAAATATTACAGGAAAATATTTAGTGCAGGTGAAGTGCAAATTGTCAAGAGTCCATAAAACGGAACAGGAAGTACATACCAGCAGCAAACATGCCTGGCTTCCCACTGGCTTCCCAGGAGTTCCACGTCCTCTTCCTCCACCTCCAAAGCGACCACCACCTCCTCGATTGCCACCTCTAAAGTGACCACCACCACTGCGGCCACCTTCACGTCAGCCTCTAAAACGACCCCCACTGTCCCGGTCACCACTCCTTCCACCTCTGCCACCACCAGCACTATCACCTCTTGGCTTAGCCTCTTCCACTGACAAGGAACTCTCCCTGAATTCAGATCCATCAAGTTCCAGAACTTTTTTGAAGGCATCACTCTCCTTAAAATCAATATATGCTATCCTGTGGCAGGAACCATAATGAATTGGTCATTAGAAAAAAATATAGAATAGAAGACACGAGTCTCAAAGTCTGTTGTGTTGTTATTAAATAACCAACAAAGATCTGATATTTTAACGTTAACACTTCAACTGAACTGAAACAGTAACAAAATACAAACCCTTTAACACCACCATCTTGATATTTTGGAATGGAAACTCTTGTCATTTCACCACAGGAACCAAAATGATCTTCCGAGCACTTCTAATCTGCAATTCGGATATTCGTATTCAGCAAAAAAATTCACCAACAGAGGAAATGAAAAAAAAATTAATCTCACATAACGGAGAAATAAAATGTATGTGCTACACATGCCTTGCCTTCACCATCATATTTATCAAAACTGCGATCAAATATTGTTTGCCCTTGAGGAGTCCTCCCCCCTTCTGGTACGAGTTCTCGTTGCCACTAATCTGGTGAAGAGATTGAAGTAAATACGCTTAAACATGACTAATGCCCATTAAGAAAATACAAAATGGATTTGATGACTGGAAGGCAAGATAAAATGTCCACACCAATTGATATTATAAAGAACTTGTTTTATTGGTTAGAACCAATCCATTATATTAACGTAGAAGAATTACAAATATTTACACGAGGATCTGAATCTTTAAAACATAGTTGTCCTAGCGTATACGTAGTTCAACTAAATATGGTACAACAAATCGCTTCCAATTTAAAAAAATGATTTATAGTTCTGTAAAAGATATCAATTTTAACGTGATCTTAGGAAATTTGTCGATTTCACATCAACACGTTTTGGAAGTTTTATATATTACTACATATCTAATTCGCACACTAATTAACATCACAAAAGCAAAAACAAAAAAAATCAAGAAAGAATTTCAGAATTTGGAAACACGCAAAAATTAAGAAAGAGAATTTTTGCATACACAGAGAGAGAATAGTAGATACCTGCACCGGATTCAACTGGGTTGCCAGAATTTGTTAGCATAGAAGGGTTAAAGTCGGGTGTTTCTTTGAGTTTAATACTTATGGGATCTTGTGGGTTGTTATGTTCGAACAAGGATGGAAGGTTCATGCAGCCATTTGGGGAACCAGCATAGAGAAGCTGATGGGTTTTTGGAGTACAAAATAGAGGAATGGGTGTGATTTATTTTGAAGTTAAACTAAGAAAAATGTAGAAAATAATCGGCTTTATGCGCTGATTGTTCTTATTCTTTTTAAGTCATAGCTCAACTTTGATAGTTTGTTCGAGAAATCATCACACATAGAAGGGGACATGGATGTGCACCCTCAAATCCACATACAATAACCTAGGGTAATTATGACATTTTTTCTTCTTCAAAGAAATGGAGAATGGTAAAGCAAAGTCATCAAATCATTCTTATCATAGAAGGATACTAAGTAATATGATAGAAGGATGGACCACAGGTGACCTCATGTAAAGATAATGCACTGGAGAAGGAAAAAGTAAATAGAAATTTGTAAATAAGGCCGAGAAGGTAATGGCCAGCAGCCCCATTTGGAACCTGCAATTATGAGAAACTAACTATGACCACTCCACCTCAACAAAGGAATACATTAACTAATGATCATTATAGGCAAAAGAAGAGCGGTAAACAGTATCACATAGTTCAAAACTGGAATTAAGGCAATAAAACAAATATTAAAGAAGTACATACATGCCATAAAACTAACATCAAAGAACGGTGAAACATGTTATATGGTATACCTCTGCAAAGGACTCGTTAGGGGGTGTAATGCTGCTTCAGCTTCATACAGAAGATCCATCTGAAAGCATGACAGCGCAAACAAGTAGCGGCATTGAGCCATATATGTGTTCATTCAAACAAGTAAAGACAGAGATAGCAAGTAGAGAAATAACATAAATAATAAAATTCCAGGGAAGATGCTCAGACAACAAAAGAGTGCTTCTTTTGGGTGAAACCAAGTGGTCTGATCCAGTTAGAAAAAGAGAAGATCATGTCACAACATACCCTTCAAAATGTAGTATGCACTATGTGACTGATTGTTTTGCAAGTAACAGCTGGCAAGTAGCTGCAAAATTTGTCTGCATTAAACATGGTACTTCAATAAGGAGACAAATCTATGATAGTCGAATTTAGTTTACGCCGTCAATCTTTATAATAAATTACTAAACAAAAATAATAAAAGCACAAACTCATAGACAAATAGACCCAATATCACAATATCTAATATAATATGAAGCATTAACATTTACTTTGTAGAGTAAACAGCATCAACAGGACATCGTCCATCTTTTTCATATCACAAAATGTTAAGGCTAAGGTAATTTTCTTTATTAAACATATGATTCCACTCTATTAACTATATAGCTTCTACACCCATAACGAGCATCAAAATCCCAAATATTTTTAAAGTGGAATTAAAACTAAGCAAAAAAAATCGTCTGTTTACATAATTATTTTAAAGATTCTATGTTAAAAGTGAATACCTCATAGGGGGAACTCGGCGCAGAGGCGTTCACACATGAAAAGGGTCCCCCCAAAATTACACATGCCAGCATCAACTCGTGCTCATTCCCTTCCCTATTCTCTCTCAACTACAAGTACAAACACCACCCGTAAAATAATAATAATAATAAATCAAATTGACATTTACAGTAATTAGTTAATAAAACCTACCAGTTCATTAAGCTGATTGACATAATTGGAGAAAGCATCTTTCACGAGATTTGGGATTTCTTGGTGGTAGTTTCAAGAACTCACACGGCTAGGAAGTTTTGCTTTGCAGAGTAAAACATAGGCTTCTTTAACACACCATTCAAACGACATCGTCTTAGTTGACGATTCAAATTGTTGACATCTGTCCATTCCAAAGAGCCTCTTTCATATAGTTAGGATTAGGAGATACAATTTACAGCATGTTAAAAATACCTATGGACATCTTATCAAAGCAAGAATCTCTTGATAGACGACATTTTTTGTGCATCTATTATGTGCAGTAGATTTGTCAGATGGCTTTATCAAAACTTTTATAGATTTACTTGTTTTGACTCTAGACAAAGCAACATATAATTGCCCATGAAAAAATACAGATTCCGGAAACCCAACGAAGTCTAAAGTTTGACCTTGTGATTTATTTGTTGTTATTTCAAAATATGGACGAATTGGGAATTGAGTCCTTTTAAAAGGAATTGAAGATTTATCACTATCAAGTGGTATAAACGGAATCCTAGGTAAAAATACTCGCTTTTCACGATATTCTCCAATAGCAATTTATTGAACTTGTAATTTATTTATTGTTATTGCAAAACAAGGACGTATTGGATACTGAGTCCTTTTAAAAGGAATTGAAGTTTTATCACTTTCAAGTGGTATAAACGGAATCCTAGGTAAAAATACTCGCTTTTCACGATATTCTCCAATAGCAATTTCTGCATCAATTACATTTCTTTCGAATCTTCGACAAAGAAGTCTTGTTCAATTACATAAACCTTCGAATTGGTTAATATTTCGAAGTAACATAACAGGACAATTTTCTTTCAATGTGAGTTCATGTGGTGGAATACCATTTGGAGTTTAACGCGTTTAAAAAATCTTCTTGGATACTTTGTTCGGATCTGTCGATGGATTCATCAAAGCTATAATATGTAAATATTTTCCCATGAATTTCTTTGAGTAAAATATTATTTATTTGATCTACACATTCATTTTTTGGTGTCAAGATGACTCTATTAATCATAGTATCTAGATTTTCCATATAATTGTATATATTCGGAAAAACCACATTAATCAAATGTTTCAGAGATTGAAATTCGTCTTCAAACTGTACCGTTATATCAACTGGAAGTGTAATCATCTGACATGAGTGTTCTTTCTCTGTACCATTTCCGATACGAAGTAAATAATTACAGAATAATGGATCCAATTGAGCTATCATATTCTGTATCAATGGTAAACAGGTAAAAAAAGGCGACAAATATGAAAAAACTAAACTCGCTTTCATTATGTCTTCTTTTTTGTCTCTTTGGACAATTGGTAAAACTTGTTGAAAATTACCACCTAATACAATGACTTTTCCACCAAACGGTACATCTATTTCGTTTATATTTCTTAACATTTTATCTAGAGCTTCCACGGTGTGACGATTCACCATTGGTGCTTCGTCCCAAATGATTAATTTAATCATTTTGAAAAGATCTGCCAATGCAGACCGTTTCCTTATTGAACAACCAACACCATCATTTATATCTAAGGGAATTTTAAATCTAGAATGTGCAGTTCTACCACCTGGTAATAAGGAAACTACTCCAGAAGAAGCTGTAGCTATAGCAATCAGATTTCTTGAGCATACAGCTGCAAATAAAGCTTTATATAAATATGTTTTACCTGTACCACCAGGTCCATCGACAAAAAACTTTCCATTGTCATCATTCAAGATTCGGTGCAAAATTGTATTATAAGCATACATTTGCTCTTTATTTAAAGAATTTGTATTGAAACTGTCGTTTTGATTACCACCATTCTTTAACTATTCAGAAATCATGCTAGCCAAGGTTTCGTCTTGTCCCATGCTTATATGAAAGGACACTAATTGGTAATCATTTATACTTTTGTTCAAGGGTTCTAATATAGAATGCATACATTTTAATGCTTTTATTTTAGAATCGTTAAATGACATACCTTGTTGTATGAAATCTTCAAACATATAACTTTTAAACTTATTCCATAACAATTGTGGATTGTTAGGATTACAAAATGTTAATATGGTAGCAAATACCCTTCAAAGTGAAGAGGGCATTTGATAAACAATCACTTCTGCTAAACACAGCTCACAATTATTATCTCCACTTAATAAACCATGTAAAAGAGCTACTTCATGAAAGGTGGATGTCAATGTAACATTTACGGTTCTTAATTGTTGAAAAGAAGTTGATCCTTTAATGTGATATAACAAAGGGCATAAATAATATATTTCACCTTCAGATGGATTAGCTGTAACTATTCTACCAATTACATTTTTTTGTTTTCTAGGAGTCCAAATTCGTTCGTTTGCATCCCACACAAAATAAGCTTTTTCATTTGTAATATTAGTACGAAAAAATTCAGTTAACGTTGTTTTTCGTGTATAATCTCTACTTATAACCGATTGTAGATTATCACTATCTTTATAAGTAATTAATTGATGGTCTTCGAGATGTAATTGTAATGAAAAAACTGATGGAGACATTTCAGACAACACAAATCCGTAAGTTCTCCACATCGCTTCCGGTGGAGAAATCCACCTAGCAGTTTTGATATCTTGAAATTTCATCAATATCGATATCATGTTCATTGTTACTCAGGGAAAAAACTTATTCGATCATATCTTTTATAAACATATTTATACAAATATTTCACAGCTTTAACTGTTGAACAAATTTCTACATTTATATGGCAATCATATTTAGTTGTTAAGTAAGGATTATAAGTTACAATCCATCTATTATCTAAAAGATGTCCCCTAACTTTAACTTTTTGACCATCATTGCGATGTTTATAGCGTGGATATGAATCGTTACCAAATGAAGTTGTAATTGCATATTCTTTTGGCTAATTATTTTTGCATATTTTATAATTTGACATGCATACATTATTTGGATTTAATATTCCACAAGGACCATGCAACGTATGTTTTACAACAATAGGATGTAAATGGGGGTAACAACTTTTGTCCGGAATTTCACAACAAACAATTTTATCAACCATATCAACTGAAGTAATTTTTGTTCCATATCTAAAAATCAACAAAAAATGAGCATGTGGAAGACCTTTTTTTGTTAAATTCAATCACATATATGTACGCTGCAATAGGACCAAATATTTTTTCTTTAAATAGGTTGTGCTTCAACGTTTCCAATTTGGATCTAAATAAACGGGATATTAAATCAGGTCTATTATGTACTTCATCGTTGTGCCGTAATTCTTGTTTTATCTCAGGCCAATTAGGATTACAAGTTATTGTCAAAAAAATATCAGGTTTTCCAAATCTCTGAACTAAAGCCATTGCATCCATATATCTTTTTTTTTTATCTCTAGGACCACCAGTGAAGGATGATGGTAAAACAATTTTCTTACCTATTTTATACCCTCTAGATTCCCCTGTTCCAATAGTATCAACAATCCCTTGGTATAATTCAGCACGTATATGTTTTTGGTTATTTCTAAAGTAATCTAATCTAGATGTTTCAATTTTCACATACATGTCAACTACATATTGTTGTAAAAGTCTACCAGCATGAAG